AATAAGCAAAATAAACAAAAATAATCATGTCCTCGTGTGTGCGACCTAAACGCCAGGGTTGGTAACATTCCGATTCCGGGAGTTGTCGGGGTATTTGGAGAACAGCACTTAAATAAAAAACGGAGAAGAACTTAGACAGTTGCAGCCTCAATAAGTTGAAAATTGCTAATACCTTTTTCAGAAAAAAAGAAATACACAAGTTCACTGGAGTGCCAGAGGCCTCAGATCACTGATAGATTATGTAATCGCAAATGATAAAATTAGTAACCAAACAGAGAATATACAAGTACACCGAGATGTGATTATATATTCAGACCACTACCTAGTGATTGCAACATAGCATTGGTAGCAAAATGAAGAAAATTAGACCAAGGAAGAGACAAGTCAGGAAATTTTGAAGTGTACTTAATTACGAACAAGAAGCATAAAAAGACTATATCAAATTCGATTACAACAATTTATGTCCAAGTGTTCCAACTATTGAGGATGTGGATAAGGAATGGAGAATATAAAGGAATGCATAGAGAGGCAGCATATGAACCTTTAGGAAAGAAAAAAAAGCATAAAAGAAAGAGACTGAGAGTATGGACGATTGTATAGCGAAAGCCATAAAAGATAAAGATATATCATATAAAAAGTCCTTCAAAACAAAACCCAAGAAGCTAAGAAAGGAAACAAAAAAGAATAACGCTAAACAAATAATGAGATCTGCACATATGTCTCATGGATAGATTTATAAATACCATCTACATGATATTACATGGAAGACAAATATTTGCGTACAAAGTGTTAAGACATTTAAATCATATGGAGAAAGATGTGGCAGAATACGCATAAATCACGAAGAACAATGGACGGAACACTATACAAACTTTGTGTACTGTAACTGTTGAACCTAAAGAGGAAGAGCTTCGCTACAACAATACTGTGGATTCCATCTCTTGGATGAATAAAGCAAAGCCTTGAACAGTATAAAAAAACAGGAAGGCATGTGGTCCTGATGGAGTTAACATGGAACTTATAAAATATGCAGGCCCCTAAGCGAATTTAGACTGCTTCATCTGTTCAATGAATGCTGGAAATCTTATAGACACAATAGCTGGAAATAACAGAGGTCATATCTATCTTAAAAAAGGTAAAAGAAATGAATGTGTAAACTACAGGGGTATCAGCCTCATGAATGCGCTTATAAGTATTTGTGCAAAAATTATCACGCTCGATTGAAAATTATAGCAGAGGCAATACAAGAGAACAATCGGGATTTCGGAAAGGACGCTCTTGTAACGACAATATTTTTAGTCTTAAAAGAAATATTAGAAAAACGACGAGAAGTAAATGGGAAACCCATATGCCTTTATTGACTTCGAGAAAGCTTTTGATAGCGTGACAGACAAGCTATGGAAAATAATGACAGAAAGTGGCTATCCTGACACCTCATAAAAGCCATCAAAATATGTATGAGACAAAATTATAATAATATACTGGATAAAGAAGACTGAAGAAATATTAATAAATAGGAGACTTAAACAAGGATTGTAGTTTATCTCCAACACTATTCAAAATATATTGATCTTATTAAAAAAAGGAGATGCATAGCTAGTTCTGGACTACAGTTGAAGCAGGATAAACACCTAAATGTATCTACTTTATGCAGATGACGTAACAATACTGCAAGAAAGTGGAAGATGATCTGCAAAAAGCTGTATACAACCTGCATCAACTGGGGAAATGAGTATAATCTTCGAATTTCTAAAAACGAAGACTAAATTATGGCCCATTGCGGTTAAATACCCCATACGCTCAAAAACTAGTTATTGACACACATTTGATCGACCAGACTTCAAATTTTAATTACCTTGGTTGTGACATTAGTTATGACACAGATAAAGACATAGAAAATAAAACTAATAAATTTCAATCAATATGTGGCATAATAAACAGAACACTACAGAACAAAGCAAGGAAAGACACAAAATTAAGTTCCATAAGACAATGGCTGCTCAGTTTCCTGTATGGAAGTGATCGTGGATAATGAAAAAAAGACCAAGTAAGCTCCAAGCAGCAGAAATGAGGTTTTCATAGGAAGTTAAAGGCTGCATTAAACAAGACCAGATAAGAAATGAGGATATCCGTAAAGACTAGATATATACAACATAAATGAAAGGATCTTAGAAAACAGGAAAGAATGGGGCGCCATATCGAAAGATGGAGGAAGATCGTATTCCACATTAGTGATGAACTACCAACCGAAGGGAAGAAGAGATATCGGCGAGCCAGAAAGAGATGGTCCTGAAGTGCAAAGTGAAGACGGAACGGCATTTGTGCATAATCCTTGAAATGGAGAAGAAGAAGAAGATGAAGAACAATAATTACCTCATAAATATGTGCTGTATCAAAAATTAACAAAGCAACTCATCATCTTCGGATAGCAAAAAAAATTCTTATCAGATTTAATCAAAGTACCTGAATATCATGTTGGTGATATATACAAACATACATACAAAATTTAATGATAAGGTTTGAGGATCTAACTTGTGAAATACAAGACTAGATTATGGTCCATTTTTGATAGCCATGTATTTTTAAGAACTTTTTTAAAGACTTCAAAAAGTAAAGAATGTGAGGCAACTAGTGTATGAAAGATTCGCGGATAGCGCATATTGGTCAATTTAACTTCTTACAAGATTAAATTTCTGAAGATACGGAATTTCATATTTCAATAGATACATATATTGAAGTTATTCATATTTAAAATATATTAATTTTAAAATTTTTCCTGAATTCAATTTATTGTGTTAGGTTAATAAATAAAACATAATAAATGCGATTTCTCATATTATCATTAACATTATGTTTTGTATGCAAAGTAGTAGCTGCAAGAGAATTAGTAATGCAAAAATTACGAAACTACAGACATTGCACTAAAAAATGTTATTGATGCTCTTCTTAAGTGTCTATAATATTATCAATTACCATTAGATGGAGAGTTCAATAGAGAAAAATAGATTTATGAATTAAAGTGGTGGGTTTTCATGATACACATTAAAAAAAATCTTCAGAAAAATGGAATAAAATACTCGAAATTGGTATTATTATAACAATGTAAATCCGACCTTTTCAGATTTAACTGAATTAGCATATGAAACTCAGTCATTGAATACAAATTTCAAATTCGTGAAAGGTAATATTCATCCATATTTTTTATTATATGTAATCAAAGTTTTAGAGATAAGTTGTGTCCTATATAGACCCAACGGCGTCTTCTAGCTTCTTAAGGAGCGTTGAGCGCGCTGTAGAGTAATTCTCTGTTGACATTTACAATTTTTAATTGGAGTACTCCGTTACAATCGCCCTCTAGGAGCGCTGGTGGTAATCGTTGTCACGACAGGCAAGTCAAGTCAGGGAATCTCCGACAGATAGCGCCTTCGCGCTCGCGTCATCTACCCATCGGCCAGAATTGATCGATAGATTTATTATTTCTGCAGGTAGGTATAGAACCTGGTGGCAGAACACTACATTTTACATATTACAACTAAGAATAGTAATACACTGTTATTTTAAAGCATTTTAAGGCAATAATAACAATAAAAACTAACAGCATTACCTATACACTTTATAACTGCCCTGCACGGAATTTTTAACTAATAAATACACTGCACTTCACTTCACTTCGCTTCACTTCACAACAGTCACGACACTCCAATTCAACTACTACCTTAAATATAATTGTATATTTAACAAACCAATGTATTTAATAGTGATTATCACAACACTAATATTTAAAAAATAACAATTATAATAAGATTATAACTAAAATAATAACTATTTTAAATAAGCCTAACTTATACCAAAGTCCTTAGTTAATCTACTTTTGAAACTTTGTACACCTAGAGGAAAGGGTTTCATGGCTGCTCGCAGGTAACGTATTCCAGTCAGTTGTTGTTCTATTTGTGAATGAAAATTTTCCAACATCTGTTTCCTGTGTTCTGAACTGAATTTTGTGCTTGTGATCCACTCTACTAAAGTAAGTGGGTCTATCGAGTCGATGCAAATATCTTTCCAAGCTGTATACCGGCATACGCTTTGTACATAGCACAGAGTCTTGCCTTAGCCCTCCTGAGTTCTAGAGACTTCCACTTTCTTCTATTGCTGCGGAAAGTAAGTTTACACGCTCTTCTCTGAACTCTATTCAAATATTCCTTTTGTGAATTTCTATAAGGGTCCCAACAAATTGCCCCGTATTCCATTAATGGACGAACTAAAGATAGGTAAGCTAATTCTCCTCGCTTCGCAGTACTCTTTTTTAAGTATTCGCATGGTAAAATGCAAAGACCTCCAGGCTTTCCCTACGACAAAGTTAACCTGATTTTCCCAATTTAATTTTCTATCAAATATTATTCCCAAGTACTTACAAGCCAGGACGCCAATTGGGAAGGAATAAGGATAGGGGTAAGGTTTAGGAAGATTCACAGGGGTTGGACTAGCCCCTGTGAAGCATGCAAACGTCGAAGCAAATTTCACATCAGGTTCTAAAGGGAATTCTAAGGTAATCGAATCCGGAACTTCAGTAATGAAAGGAAGGCGACTTCGCCTCTGAGCCACGAGAGATATTTTAGAGAAATAAGCATTATATGCCCTTATTATAACACGAATATGCAGCAAAAGAAAAAATCAGCCAAATATTAACAAACATATTAATCTACAACCCTTTTTACCTATCTCTACGCATCCAATTTTAAACAACCCTTTTTACCTATCTCTTCCAATCTCTGAAATTCCGAAAATTCCAAAAGTTCAAATTTATTTGCAATCCTATTCTACGCCTCCAATATTAAAATTAAGAGATTTCCCTCTCAATGTAATTTATCCTTCAATGGTCGATCTTTAAATGGTGCTATTAACATTTAAAAAAAAAATATTTCTTGCGTAATAACACTAAGATGAGAAAAAGATTAGCCATGACGCGCTAGTTTTTATTTCAAGTGATCAACTTTACAGACCTTGCATTGTCTCGTGCTGCTGCAGGGCGATGACGCACTTTCTCTTGACCCAGAATGACGTCGTTACGTTCTGAAAGGCGCGATGTTGAAGGACGCACATTTATGCCAGTGTTGGAGTTAGGATTGCTGATGATCCTGAAAACAAATTGTAAAAACCGATCAGTAAGAAAAGGAAGTTAAGAAAATGTGACACCAATACATTGACAGTCTTAATGTTTACTTTACCTTTCCTGAATCAAAATTATTGTTCTCTTTTCTTTGATCAACCTGCAAGTTGTCACAGTATTTTATTTTGAAACAAACTAAAACGTTACATGCAATCAGCCTAAAAAGTTTTCAACTTCCATTTTGAAAGAATCTTTTCTTGCTCATGTGTCTCTAAAGTTACTGACAGAACGTTTACAAAAACATTTTAATAACACTATGTCCATGTAAGAGAATGTTTTCGGTAGTTAAACAATTACATAGGATCAAACCTAAAAAGATGTGAGCACCACTTTGGGACTCCTATTTTCTAATAAAAAACGAAATGGATGTACAAAAAATGACATTATATTTCGACGAAAATGGCGTTGAAATTAGAATCGTACCAAAACTAGGACTTTTCGAAGAAATATGCGGTTTGACTATATTATTATTTACCTAAATGCTCACAGCTCCTTTGCCTCTTGACTAGAGTTGCCAACAATGTTCATGTAAAACTGAGGACACTCGATGAGAGCTCTCCCCCCCAAAAAATCAACACTTTTTTAAAGAAATATTTAATTTAGATTAACATTAACTCTATTTCATTCTTCTCTCCATTTGCGATTTAAGTGAAAATATTCGTTCACAAAATGCTGATGAAGATGGTCTAAGCGTTTCTTTCTTAGTTCAATCACTAGACAGACAGTTTCATGCATGCGTGTGTCAGCGTTCAGAAAAAGGATATTCATGTTTTCTATAGTAAATTAAACAATATTCCAGACTACGTGGAGGATTTTAGTCATGTGATAAAATAAATGACAATAGATGTCAAAGTTTTAGTAAAAGGACAACATTTAAAATATAAAGAAGAACGAGAGGGCAATCGACGTCAAAGGAAGACTGTCGGTTCACAAACGGAGGTCGGTTGTGAACCTACTCTTGACCCGCAGAGCAACGGATGAGCCCTTCAGCCCAGCGTGCACCCTACAACCGCTTTGAAGCTCAAAAAAAAACGCGAAAACAGAGTAGTAGACTACATTTTCGAAACATATTTTAGATTAATATTTGTTTTAAATTCAAAAAGTTTGTGATTGTGTTACATGCAATAGTGCCTCATTTCAAAGCCTCAAAATTATTTCTTTCTCATTCACTTGAACGTGTATTGCTCAACTACGCATATAAATACTTTTTATTATCTTAAATAACTTCACACACAGGTTTTGTTATTGAAAAAAATAAATGGCAATTTTTGTAAAGAGTTTTTCTTTGTTCCTAGGAATGTATCATAATTTTATTTTGTAATAAATAATATCTACAATAATTTTATTTTACATTCAATGTTCCAGAATAACATTTGGAATACTACATCTGAAAGACAAATTTTTAAAATGTCGGTGCAAATTACATAGTTCCATTCAGTTGAATCTGTGCTTCGAAGGTATTACGAGACGTTTTTAAGGTAAAAGCTTCTTATTTGAAGCGATTTCGTAGTTTATACGCCCTATTAGCGACCAGGGGAGTATAAAGCGGCTGTTAGTATCCCATTGTATTCTGATCTAGTACAACACGCTTTCGCGTAACCCAGAGTGATTCACAGCGTGACGAAGAAAAGTTGAAGGTTATTATGCCAGTGAGTTAGCGCCGCCTTCGTCGCTCCTCAGCTCTCACCTCGATGCGCAGTCGTTCAGGCCGGAGTAAAATGTCAATAAATGCCAATGCCACTGCGCATCCAAGCCGAACTCAAAATGCCCATAAATATCCACGTCCCGTGGTTATTTACAGTATGATGTTGACGTACTGTATTCAATACTGAAGAATCAACAATAATATATGCTCAGAATTTCGAAGGATATTTTGCTTTCTTTGCTGAAGACATTAACAGATCTGTTATTTGTGTTCACCGATGTAAAATAATGTTAATTGATTAATCCTTGATAGCCGAGAGAGACTTTACTTTCACTTTATCTGAAGAAATCCTTTTGATATCCAAATACCTCAAAAATGTTCTAAACTCAGAGTTGAAAAATTAAATTAGTGGTGCTCTAATTAGTGACGATTGCATAAACCTGTAGTACCGCAATTTCTGTACGCAATTATAGTACCGCTCTTTCATATTGACACATCTTAGTCGTCACTTGTGCACAACACGTGTCAGAGGAAGTCACTCACGAAATGCAGGAACAAGAATTACCCACCGTTGCGTTACAAACGCATGGAATTAAGAGTTTATCTGTAGTAAAATTTAGTTTTTTTTACACAATATTAAATACTTTCTTCTATACTGCATACGCAGCGGGCGACAAAGTGAAGATTTTGCTACAGTAAAACCTTATAAAATTATCAGTCTAATAACGTTGCATCCGTGCGATAACAGAGAAATCTGACTAGGTAGCAAATTATACTACAATTTCCTATAAAGGTATACAAGATGAAGAATAATTACCTAATAATTACTGAAATTTTCTCAGCGTTCAGACCAAACTATAACCTTGCCTCGCATAATTAATGTCAGTAATTATTGACGCTATAGATGGTAAAAGCTATGTTATACTCTTCTAAGTGAAAAGGAAGCATTTATTTCGAAAGGAAAATGTGGAATGGTAGTTTTTCCACTCCATGGCTCCGACCCCCGTCCTGCTTGCCAGATAGGTCAGTGGTTGAACTCTGAGAAAGCACGTGCTCAACCGGTTGCACATTTCTCCTGTTTTTGCATTTGACAGAAATACAATTCTTTAACAGACAGCCGAAACTTTCCCGAGAAACATTACAGGATTCCACAACGGAAAAAATTCAAAAACGTTTTTGTTGTGAAGAGGAAGTGGTAGATGACTATCCAAATGCATGTGCCGAAATACAAAAAAGGTTTAGAAACAGAAAATATGATCCAAGTTTACCGTCCTTGATTGACTACGTATGTACAACAATATACATTCATTAACATTATTATTATTATTATTATTATTATTATTATTATTATTATTATTATTATTATTATTCAAAGTTTTTGACCCGTTGGAATTATGTCTATTGGTTCTTGACTTTTGGTCAATAAAATAATAATACAATAAGCTTTACATTGCCGACGTTTCGGCCTGATACAGCGTCACTAAGGCAACCTTCCCCAAAGGAGAGAGTTGAAAGGGTTGCTACAGGAAATCTTGTATATTTAATTTAAAATCACTTGACGGAAAGTATAATATTATACTCAAAATACTCTCAAAACATTAACATGTTATATAATTTCATTCCTCGTTTTACGATATATCTATTGCTAGTAAAATAGATACGTGGCTCCATTTAAAAAAGTAAATATGATTAAATTTCTTAGAAACTAAAACTAGTTTAAACAATATCTCATCGGTTCATTACTTGCTCCATGATCCTACATTGTTTAGCGAAAACTACATTTTGATGTCCGGGATCGTTTAGAAGTTATCCGGGTGGCCCATAGTTGGTGGGACTCACTGTATTTGGCCTTCATCAGTGCTACAGATACATTGTATATACACAAGAATACGTACAGAGTATCGATTACTTAGCCTTAATCGTTCATTTAGCCTTCTCCGATTACTACCCACTTCCATGGCCCTCTGTCCCGGCTGGGGCGGTGCCCCGTTGGTGAGAGATAGGTACTTGGTTGGGAAAAACCACGCTAGCCGACGCACTTGGACGTTCTAGGTGGCCAAAATTATTTTTTATGTTTAATTTTCATTTAAATGTGTCATCTTCCTCGTTCGTGGTTGTTTAGGTGATATGAAAAGTTGTTAATAAGAAAACAATGATGTTTTGAAATTTATATTTGTTTATAAATACAACCCCAAGAATAGAGCTCATTTTATGAATGACATATCTTTGGGTGCTGAACTAATACAAAATATAATATAATGCTTGTATTAACAATATTATGAAAAAAACAATAAATTAAAAGAATACAATAAAGTATAAGTAAATATGCAATAATGTACAACAAGGGTATAGTTTACTATTACTGCTTCTAATTATTTTGTATTGCCTCCTGGAAAGATCAGCTCCAACAAACAAAGCTAGTGCACTGAGTGTCGCTAGTTGTGTTTTCCTATCCTCTAGACTAACAGTATATGCCTTCTTATATTTCCCGGCTCGTTTTAGAGAACATGTGATTTCCTTGAGTATTTTTACAAGCACCTCTTTTTCCTGTAACGCCTAATGTCACCCGGGGAGCATAAGTCAGTATCTCTTTATCTGAAGTTTGTTGTAAATCTTCTGTTCTTCTTTTCTTGATTCTCTCACTCAAATCTTCAAATCATCGCTTTGGTCTGCCCAGTCAGCTCACGGCTTTAGGTATTTCGAATGTGCCATTGAGACATAAGTAATCATCCGGGTTGTAAATAGGATTTAAAGGCAATCAATTATATAACATTATATCAACCTGTGAAGCGGAATGTAAGTAGTTGATGTCACGTAACCAAAAATTTCGTAGAGTTAGCGACACATTCATTCAGACATCGAAAGGAATTCCCAAATCCCAATTTTGATGAACTATTATAATTCATGGCTGGTTGCTAGTTAGACCTGACAAAGAATAAATAGTTCGATATTTATAAATATATGTTTACCTTCTTACAGCATTGTTTTGTTTTAAGATGTCTCATTGGTGTCTCGTCTTGTTCAGTACTGCTTGCCGAACTAGGATCGTATTCAGAACCTGAATGCTTAAAAAACAGCATCTTCAACTTCACATTCATTCAACATTGCAATTAAATCTTCTTCTCAAGAGGTCTTGCAATATCTGGACACTGAGCGGGAATCGTGCCAACAGGATAGCCAACAAGATAGTGTCCACATACATGTATACAGATTGGTTTGCGCGGTTAAGCAGATAAAATCTTTTTTCACGAACTTAAACATGGCTTTTGCAGAAAGTACCATTTTACCTTGTCTGTATCTCAGAAAATAATCTTCGTACAGCA